GTTACCTCTATGTCTGCCCTGCAGCACCCAAAGATGGCAGGAGGGCAGAGGAGGGAAGCCGACAGCTGCAGGGCATAGACAAGGGGATCGGGTTTGCGGGGGGGGGGGGAGTAGTGTGGGGTTGAAACAACCATTTTAGATGGTGGGTGGGACACATAGCAGCAGAGAAGCAACGGCAGGGGGGAAGGTGGCACATTTTAGGTAAATAGCTCTGATCAGTGGCTTATCAGCCACTGAGCAGAGCTATCAGTTCGTTCATCAGTGTTTGCTGAACAATTCTGTTATAAGTTAGTGGTCACTGAAGGGACCATGAGCATATAGCAGAGGAGAAATGCAGGTCTGTATGGTGTACAGACCTGACCAGCTCGAAGCAGTTTTGTAGGTCCTTACGCCGTACGGACCTGGCAGTGAAAGGGTTAAACAGTTTTTTTTTTTTAATTTCTTCAGTTACTTCCTGGTTTTTCAGATAAACATACAGTGATGTGAAAACCCTAAAAATATTAAATACAAAGGAGTAGTAATGTAAAGTCTGAAAACAGTGTGACCCATTTGCATTATTAAAAGGCCAGATGACAGCAATCTCCATCTCTTGCAAAAAGCTGGATCAACCACAGTAGTTCAAGTGAGGACGATTAATTTACAGATTTTTTTCTTTAGGATGAAGACTGTTATTTTGTTCTTCCACCTCCAATAACAATATGGATATCTCTTTGATATCTAGTAAAGTATTCAATTTAACTTCAAACAACAGCTCATAAGAAACAGCGTGACAAAAACTGTGTAATGAACGAAATCAGACTCATATTTGTTTCCTGCTATATTATCCTTTATGTGATTGCCTCAATGTGTGCTCATATTTGTATGCTGACATATCAACTCTCTTACAGATGTCTGTGCAACTTAAATAATATGCTGCTGATGGGTGATAGCAATGGATGAGCCAACTAGGCAAAGTTCCGTTCACAGGATGTTCAGCAAACCTGAAGGGAAAACTGCAAACCACAAACATAGTGCCAAACCCAATTAAAGTTTAAAGGAGGGCACTGGCATAGCATGCGTGTGTGTGTGTGGGGGGGGGGGGGCAGCCAGGGTGGTGGCCCTGGGTGAAATATTTATGGGGGGGGGGCATAGAAATTATAGCGAAGAAGGCCTGTAGAAGGAGCTAGATGCTCCGAGCGCGTAGCCTGCTGTTTGTGCTGCTGTTCTCTGTGTATCTGGACATCTGACCCTCAGAGTTCCGTTGACGTCATTTCAGCCGGTGCATTCCACGCTGGTTGTGCTGATTTTGGGGTATTGTTAACTTAAAAATACACACCCACAGCAGTTCATATAAATAGGGTGCGATTATGATGCGATGCAGAAATCGCACAGAAAATGGTTTAGAACTCCACACCCATCATTGTTAACCTGGGCTTAAACTTTACCAAAACAGAGATCAGCTTATGTTAGAATACATCTTAATCATTTTAGCTCACAGTAATATAATATATTTATGCTAATTTGTAGTAATGAATATACTGCTGACTATAAAATACAATGGCTACAGTGTATGAATGTGCGACTTACAATAATCACACATATATTTGCAATACATTCTTTGCTAGGCAGGTTATTTGACATATGCAAAGGCATATCCAAATATACATTTACATTTATGAAATGGCATAGCAGGTAGTTCCTTTAAATTGCAGTTGCTGTAAAAAGGAATATCTGAATGTCAGTATAACAGTATAATGACACGTAGTCTGCTGGGCAGCAAATAGTTAAAAAAAGTGTAGTTTTGCAGTTTTATAGCACTATATTCTCGTTGCACCTTTCTTCTTTATCTCTTAGGTATGATCCAGCATAACTTATGCAGTGTTTGGCATTAATCATTTCTAGGCCTGGCTCACAGAAAGGAAATCTTTATTTTCTTCCAACTAAATAACCTGCCTTTAATGTAATGGCATATGTCTGTAATAAATATTAACAGTGTCATTGCCACTAGCGCTTGTAATTCACCACAATATGTTTCATTATTCCTAGCGGAGAAGGATCTCACTTGGCACCTTTAGATCCTGTTTATATATGTTTTCTTTTTGATGATTATGTGTTTCAGATTTTACAGGAACAGAACGACACCAACAACTGCAGTAGATTTAATTTTTCCAGAAAAACATTGGAAATCAAAGCGTCCTGCTTTCTTGAAGTTAATATGTGATCTCTCCACTGAAATGATGTAATGTAGATTACATCACTAGCGTGGAGAAAACTTTAGCTCTCATCATTGTTTCTTGGCCCTCGAGCTGGTGTGAATACTCCACAGGTATAAAAAAAAAGGGCTGACTTCAACTTTTATTCACATAAAACACACATGCTGTGGAATAACGGTCTCATGAGATTTGCAGTGTAGGAGGCCTCTGAGATAAGAACTGTTTGTGTTTCCCCACAGCAACCAATCGGATTGCTTATTCTGATTTTAACCTTCACTGACTGACATTTGAGCTGTTAGAATAAAAGGTAAAGTGCTTGTAAAGCTCTGAAAAAAGAAAAATGAGCAAGCATAGCCTTCTATAGTGTGTAATTGCCTCAATCCCAACCATCTAGTGTGAATCCTGTCTTTCCTCTGCTATCTGTATGAGTCTGTTCTGACTGTTTATTTCGACATCAGACAATCCCAGGAGAAGGCCGCCCCCAATACACATCAGGCGATTGACAGCCTCAGCTATGCATGTTTCCATATCAGACTGTGTAGAGGGGTTGTCCATTCCCTCCACTCAGGTCTCAGATTTGATCCCTGCCCCTTGCCTCCTGGAAGATAACAAATACCTTTTGATCTAAGTACTTTGAACAGCTATAAAGGAGACAGGGCTTCAGACAAACAGGTACAGCATATGTAGGAGAATTTGTTCTATCTCTGTGTATCACCTGATGCTAGGCACTTCAGCAGGTATAGGTAAGGACGGTATATGTTAAAATCTGACTGGCTGAGCAAGTAAAAAAAAAAATCTGCCCTGCTATTCATTTTTTGCAGGTTTAATTCTGCAAGTTCCTCATTTTTTCATAATGTACTTGTTTTTATTTGTAAAGCAAATATTGTAGCTAGTGCATCAGGTAAAGTAGATGTAAACCAGTGAAGTGACTAGTCTTTGGTGATACACAGAGATGAAATAATCCCTTCTACATAAGTTGTACCTGTTTATCTGCTGCCATTATCCAAGCCTTCCAAAACACACATTTTACACAGCATGTTTCAGCAGCAGAAACCAGAGGGAGAGATCTGATGTCACAGAGCTCTGTGAAATCGTATAGCTGATTGGAGGGAAGGGACACACCCCTCTCCAACAGGCTCATATAGCTGAATCTCATGCTGTGTGCTGGGGGGTTTGCCAACTCCCAGAAGGCTGAACTGTCAGTGTAGAGTTCTGTTAGTGACCCATGTAGATAGTAGAGAGATCAGAGAGGAACCAGACTCAGCGCTTTGGATTCAGGGTAGTACACACTATAGAAAGATGTGTTATGTTCACTTTTAATTTCTGAGGTTTACACCTACTTTAATCCCACACGTGGTCCAGAAGCATGCAGGTCTTGCTATTATTATATCAGCCTTTGTTGGGTCCTTGACATTCCTTGCAAAACACCAGCAGGCACTGAAATAGACTCTAGGGGCTCTTCTCCAAGGTAGGGCCAGTCAGAGGATAAAGGTTAGTGATGGGTGAACTGACCTGGGTTTGGTTTGGATAGGATTCCCAAACCCAACCTGAAATTCACAAACCCTGATCATAGCACCCAAACCCCATTAAAGTCTATGGGAGATGCATATTGGAATTTTTAACTAGACTTTCCCAAGGGCAATTTGAAAGTTTCTGGTAAAAAAGCATTAGTAGCTAGACACTTCCCACAGAGGAAGTGGTCCAATGCACAAAAACATTTACAAAATGTAAATACCATTCAGTGGTGAGAGGGTCTTTTAATAACTTTAAACGAAAACATTAAAAATACAGAATTTTTTTAAATGACATGCTTGGGAGATGCCTTAAACCTGCGTGATACCTGTGGGATTACTACAGCAAAAATTACATTAAATGACATTTACTGCCTGCTGACTTATGTATGAAAACAAGGTGGAGAATCCCAAGTTATTTAATTAACCACTTATGGTCAATTTGTGCAAAAATCCACTTCTGGTCAACTACGTGCATTGCAAATATTTTATAAAAGTAAATTGCAGATTGGCCCTTCTCCTGTTCTGAAGATATGCATATAAGCCTTAACATGGCCTTTTTTAAACAAACTGCTGACTAGAAGGATCAAACATGTAATTGTCTGGATAGTCTCAGTGTTATAATAAAAAAAATGAAGAGCCTGACATCTCTTAAAGGAAGTCTGTATTTTTAGTATTTTAAAATACTTACCTTCTTCCCCTTTCCCAAATCTTCACTGTAGGACCCTGTCCATACTCATCTGTTCAGCTAGAGACAGTCAGGAGTGCGACTCATCTATAGGAATAAGGCCACAATGGATAAAGTCACTGCTGGGAGAAGGAGCAGAATGAGCTAGCTGTGAGAGGACAACTTGGGTGAGTTTAATGCTTCTGCTGTGAACTTAGCATGGCCACAGATGTACTTTTATTATATTCTAATAATGTTCAGCCAACACTTTTTTTTCTAGATTTTAGATGGAGTGGGGTAGGCTTTAGCACCCTGTCAGCTTTATTGAAAATAATTTCTAGATAGAAAATGCTTTGCTGACAATCATTTCTAGACAGAAAAAGAAGGTAATGCTCCATCAACAACCCAGACAGACGCTGATGAGTGATCCACTTCTGTGTTTAGTGTGTAGAGGGGAGGCTGCTCGGCAGGACCCAGAAAATAGTGGTTAGTTATGTAGCACCGGCTACTGCAGTGGTTTTCAGCATCTCCAGTGGCCCTCCAGATACAATATATGGGTAATTCCATTGTGCCAAGCTGGACCAAAGTAATTGACAATAAGGATAAATCTTGGAGCTCTGCTTTAAGTACCCACCAGGGGCGGACTGACCATTCGAGCACTCGGGCACTGCCCGAGGGCCCGGGGTCAGTAGGGAGCCCCATGAGATGCCCCTGGTACCTTTTTCATAGGCTTTTTTGGGTGTGGGCAAGGACACAGGGGCCCCATGATCTCCTATTGCCCGGGGGCCCCATGAGTTGTCAGTCCGCCCCTGGTACCCACTGTGCATATATCTAACTTGTACTTTTTATCCTGTAAGTTAATGTACTGCCTATTTTTGACTAAAACAGAGTTTTCATTATTCTTCAAAAGTTATATTAATGCAATTTATATTATTAATTTGTTTTTATTTCCTGTATATGAGGACATATCACATCCACCCAGATTATCCAACCTCTAAGGCTGGTCATATACTAGCAGATTTTTGAACGAAGGCTCATATGAACATTTCTATGAAAATTTAGTAAACTCTCATAATCACGATTAACTGTTTTTTATTCCTTATGCTGATAGCCTAAGTAAATACTGTAGATAGGAAGGTATATGGTATTGTTTTAAACTTTTTTACATTTCTTCAGGTTTTTCCTTAGGTTAAAATGATGTCATACATCCCAGAAGTCTTCATGACATTTACTTTCTTTCATCTGGAGGAGTAGAGGAGAGTTTTTTTCAGCTAAGCAGCACACGCTTCTGCCTGCATGCCTAAGGGCAGATGGATTCCGGGAAATAAATGCTACATGAATCATCTGCCCTTACTTAAGATGGCTACAAATAGAAATGCTAGGGTGTTTTTTAAAGTGCTTTTCAAACAAAATAAATTATTGAGACGTAGCTGGATGTGTGAGTTTGCTCTGAATATTAAAATTGAATGAAATAGCAGTTTCAGTTTGTGGTGCTCGGATATAGTTAGTGATTGTAATCCTTACATTTTTAAAATTAAAATAATAAACATGGTATACATACCCGATCCACCTCTTCTTGGGTCCCCTGGCATTGCTCCTGGCTCCTCCCCTCTGCTGACTGCCCCCATAGCATGTGGCTTGCTTTCAGGGCACTTGTGCAGGCTCACTCCCGAACCTGCTCTGTGTCCATTGACACACACAGTGCAGCTCAGGCCCTGCCCTTGCTCCCTCCTCACTGGCTGTGATTGACAGCAACAAGAGCCAATGGCTCCCACTGCTGTCCCTAAACCTTCAAGCTAAGAGAACCACTGCTCTTCTGCATATTTCCGGATTGTGATCAGGCTCAGTTAAGTATTTAGGAGCGGCTGGGGGGAACTGAGCATCGAAGGTTTTTTACCTTAATGCAGAGAATGCAAGGTAAAGAAAAAACCTTCAGCCTTTACAAAAACTTTAATATTCAATTATGGAGCAAATAGACTTTACTGAATAAAAGCCACATACACTGCTAGAAATTTGTGGATTTGAGAAACATTTCCCACCCTGCTCCTTTGAAATTTCTCATCATTGTGTTAAAAACAAACTTCAGTTTGACCCCATTAATGATTAGAAAGTTGAATGAACTTTTGAAAAATTACAAATTTTGAGCAAAATTCTCCTAGTCTATGGCCTGCTTTACTCTTAATGAGGTCAAGACAAGCATGCTCAATTGTTGCACCACCAGCAAAGAAACAAAGTGCTGTCTGTAAGGTCTCCTACTCTGTGCTCTTGTAGCTCATTAAATATGAAGCAAACCCAGTCTGTGATTTTGCATTGCCTTTGGCACTCAGCATAACCTAGCTGTTATTTTAAGGGAGTACTCCAATTCAGCAGTCATCCAAAACTATATTATGTGCTTCTGCAAAACCCACCATCTTGGCACAGAGGTGCAGATTCCGAAAAGTAGAGAAACACAATTAAAAAGGCGCTTTTAGACCTCTGCCACTCTGTTGTAAATGACCCTTGTGCAGCAGGAAATATATATATATACACAGTCACATAACAGAGCTATAATTTTGAGTTTTTATCAATCATAGTTTGGCAGGGAAACAGTGGCTCTGCTGTGGCTTTATAAGTTTAATATAGAGGGCAATCACATACTCTATGGGAAAGACACATTTAGAAATGAGCCTCCTTTTTGGACAACAACCTCTAGCCAACAAAACCAATAAACCTGTTTTGTAAACAAAAGGCCATTCAATACTGAAGAGCTTAAACAAAAATGAAAATAATAAAAACTAAGTTTCTGGATAACCACCAATGTTTTTTGGTGCTGAGCATGGGTTGAGATGGTTTTGATAAACATTATATTAATTTGGTATGTTACTTAAATTCAATCCATCCATAGTCTGTGTTTCTGAAGACAGGAAAATGTTGTATATGTGGAAGACAGATTGTGAATTCATTCAGAATTATGTTTTGGAAATTGAGACCTAAAGAGTCATTGCATTGCAAGTAGGAAATGAGGGGCTTCCACAGCAGACAGAGCATTGCCAGCTTGGATGAATATTAGCAGTGTTCAGTGCAGACGAAGAGTGCTGGGCTTTTCACGAACACCAACATCAAATCTTTTGTTTTTCGTCATTATACTGGAAAGCTTTCTGCTCTGGTGCCTGTGTAAAAAAATAATGAGAGTTGTATAGTCCACTAAGTGATACACTTGAATGTTTAACTATAGAATCTCTAAATGTAGTTTTTTTTTGTACTAAAATAAAATATAAAAATAAGTAACAAAATTTATTTAACCCTTTCATTCTCACACAACAAGAAAGTATGACCTCTAGAAACATAGACAAATGATGGCAGTTTCTTTTTTATATTTATGTGTTTTTTTGAATTTTGTTTTCAGAAGGATTTGATAAGAAGGGACATTTTATATCTGAAGGATATAGTTAGGAAGGACCTTTTGTTTTTAATATCAGAAGGATATGCTTTGAAATTAGTTTTTGTATAACAGGATATGGTTAGTAAGAACTTATTTTATATCAGAAGGATATGGCAAGAAAGGACTAAAAGAACACAAAAACCCTCTACTGAACTAGTGCAATACATTAGTTTTAGGTGGCTAAATGGTAATTATTTAATATAGGTACTTATATAGCACTATCAATTTATTCAGCACTTTCCTCATATATTTTACATTAACATCAGTCCCTGCTCTCAATGAGCTTACAATCTAAGGTCCCTAACTCACATTCATACATACACATACTAGGGCCATTTTAGACAGGAGTCAATTAACCTACCAGCATGCCATTGGAGCGTGGGAGGAAATCCCACGCAGGCCGAGGTAGAACATGCAAACTCCAGGCAGCTAGTGCCATGGTTGGGATTTGAACCAATGATTTAACCTCCCTGGAGGTATTCCCAAGTGTAGCTCGGGGTAAAGTTTCAGCACCACAAGCAATAACCACGAGCTACACTCGGGAATACCTTGCAGCTTTGCTCCGGGATCTCTTCTGCACTTACCTTGTCTTGCGCTCCCGCGATGTCCCCTCTGCAGTGTCCCTGACAATGTCCTCCGGCCGATGCCAGCATCTGTCTTCCGGGTTCCGTTTCCTGCGACGTCAGGACGTACGGGGGACAGAACTGGCCGGAAATTTTAAAATTTTAAAAGTGACATTCACTAAAATCACATAGTAAAACATTACTGTATCAAAGCATTTCACATACATTTTGTCCATAGTGCTTTGTCCTGTGCCCTGCCTGCATTTTTACTGTTCTTTCTGCCATGTAACTGAGAAAAGTCCATGGCATGCAAAAAGCGTCCCTTTAGGTCAAAAGTGGTTTTAGACCAGCTAGAGAACAGCGATAGTAAATTAGAACCACTTGCAGAATTGAGTGATAATTATTTGTGGGGAAATTCGTCATCAGACACTGAAAACGATTTTGCGACTTTGCTCAGTGATGTGCGAACTTGGTGCTATATTTAAAATTTCAGTGTTTTTGGTTTGATTATATTATTGAATTAAATGTATTATTATTATATTATTATTTTTTATGATTATTTATTAAATTATAATTTATGATTTCGTGTTTCAAATTTTAACATACCCGGGATGTTTACTAGACTTGTTCGGACAGATTTCAGTGAGTTATTCCTAAAAATTACAGGCCTACAATAAAAAAACAACATATTTCCATGCAAAAAAATTTACCGCTTTGAGCACAGAAATATAGACATAATCATAATCATAACCATTAGGGAGGCTATGTGCTGCTAGGTAGACGTACTAACCACTTAGCCACTGTGCTTTCCCATAGATTAGATTGTATTTATTTTACTGTACATGATGCTTTGATGCTAACTGCATCTTTGTGATTTAAATCTAGTTTGTAAGTAACAGTTGCTCTCTATCCTGCCAGTGAGTTGTTTCCGTTGAGATGGCTGAAATATACTTTCTTCAGGGTCAACATAGATTGTGAATATATAAAAAACAAGACTTGAACAATTTTCAGATTTATATTTATGGTGTTTCTAATATTGAGGACTATGGTGCACTCATATGATATTTTTTACTTAGATGGTTACATAGAGACAGCTCTCATTGTGATGTTCATGCTCTATAATATATATTGGAACTGCTTGTCTTCTTTCTTTCCAGTTTATTTCTGGGTAGGTACAGGGGCGGACAGACAACTTATGGGGCCCCCGGGCAATAGGGGAATGGGGCCCCTGTGTCCTTGCCCAAACTCAAAAAAACCTATGAAAAAGGTACCAGGGGCATCTCATGGGCCCCCCTACTGACCCCGGGCCCTCGGGCAGTGCCTTTTCTTGGAGCGGGTTCGGTGTCACCCCTTATAGGTTGCATGCGGACGATCCTGCGGGGTGACACTGGTGTATGGGCAAGATGTGTCTCCCATGTAGATATGTTCCCCTGAAGCAACTGTGCATGTCCCAGTTTCAGGCATGATCAATCGATGATCGAACTACTGCTATAATCGATTGATCGTGCCTAAAACCGGGACATTACGCAGTTGTCCCGGACCCGCTCCAAGAAAAGGTACGTTGTAAAGGAAGCCGACGATCCCTGCAGGATGGATCGGATTTGCGGATTGTGCATAATGGATCGAAGTCCAATTCATTATGCTCAACCTGCAGATCCGATCATTTCTGCGGGAATCATCGGAAAGGGGTGTCACCAAGTGTTACTGCACCAGGTGACACCAACCCTCTGATCTGTAGCACATAAGTACAGCAGTATCCTGCTCTTAAAGCTTTATATATATATATACAGTACAGTATATATAAAAAAAA